CTACGGGCAACGTTAAGCATTGGCGTTTTCAAAGTAATCTGTACCGTTAAAATTTTATCCAAAATGTTGACGCTAATCTGTACTCCCAATTTCTTTTAAAATTTATATTAAATATAAATTAATATACAAATAAAAAGTTTGAATTACATATTTAAAAACTACAAAATATATCAAAAATTCTACTGAACAAGGTGTGACAAGAATATCATGTTTTGTGAAATACTAATTCCGTCCCTAAACTGTTTACAGACTTTACTACTCCGTATTTAAAAATTACGAAAACTTTTGTTTATTTGTGTGTTTGTATATAATATTTGAGAAAATATAAAATATTCTTATTACCTCTTCTTTTGTACCCGGAGTAGAATATTTGATGTACTTTTTAAATATATAAGTTCTATATTTTATTTATATACAAATCTTTAAATACAAAGAATTGAAAAAACTTGAAATTTTACTTCGTTTTATATAAAATGTAAATGATTTAAGGACGGAAGTAGTATATAAAAGTTATGGGAAGATCAAAACAATAAATGAGACCATTATTTTGGAAGAAAATGAGTGGTGTTATTTGACTTACTTCTCACATTTATCACTACATTATTATTTAGAAATTGTGGGTGCTATATGTACGCATGCAAGAAAATCGTGCGATTTTAGTGAAGTGCAGGCCTACACAGAACATTTATACCATGGGGTCGCAATTTAGAAAATTTATATCCAACCATCACGCTTCTAACGGTAAATAAACAGTATTCTATAATACATAACATTAAGGTTATATATATTATTGAAATTAAACTTTCATATTTTGAAAATGATTTATTATTTTATCATTGCTAATAGTAGCAAAGACATTTTTTTCAATATATGTCACTAGACAATCATTTGACCATTGGTCACAAATATTATTTTGAACCTAATTCTTAACATATTCACAAATCACAATCTTACAAAATAAATAAACGAATTCAATTCTCTATTCTACTATTCACAATAACAAATTTATAACAATTTATTAAAATTTTCACAATTTACAAATAAAAAAAGAAATATCAAGTGGCGATCGGCGGTCTGGCAAAAAGAAGATTTGTTCGAGAAATTGGGGCATTAGGGTCCTCGTCGGTTCCAACTTCCAAGTGGCGATCGGCAGTCCGGCGGAGGTTTGTAGACGGCCGTCGGCGCGAGAGGATGGGTCAGTCTCAAGTTCCGATTGTAATTAGATCTGGGAAAGTGCCGAAGTGGGATGAGTGGATTGGAACTATAGGTTTAAGAGAGAATTGAAGAAAAAACAAAACGACACAGTTTTAGATATCAATCTTCCAAAAAATAAAATATAAAGTCACCACCTTAAAGTTGGATTCGAGCACAGGACCGCCCACTCGAATAAAAACCACGGATCTTTCTACTCCTTCAGCACTGGCAAGTTGAAACTTCTAGCGTTTTGTGGAATATATACTAAATATATAGGTATACACTAAAAAAATTAAATATATATATAAATACATACTAAAAAAATTTAAAATTTTCAGGCGGTCGCTTGACCCCGTGTGACCTAATGTGGGTCCGCCCCTGACTTAAGTGGATAACAAATTACGAAGTACATCAATTTAATAATAATAATAATAATAATAATAATATAAAATTACTGATGAGCTTCTTCTTTAGCTTGAGTGGCAGACAGTGACGAATTCAAAAATGAAAAGATTGGGTGCAAGAATAGTAAGGCAGAAGCCAGAGATAGCCTAGCGACCCTTCATTTTTCTAAAGGATAATGTGGAACGATAAAAATAATGATAAATTTCATCCCAATTGAAGAGGGCAGAGGCCAGAGGTAGCGACCCTTTTGACGTGTATTTAATTGAAACGAAAATATAAATTACAATTTATTAAAAATTCGTTATAGAATTCTAGGGTATATTTTAGGGTGTTACAGAATGCCTGCATGGAGTACTTGAAGAGTGAAGGTGTTGGTCCAAGTGATCATCGACCTAGGAGTTCCGCCCTAACTAGGAAAAGACCATTCCTAGTTATGTGTATGTATGTGTGTGTGTGTGTGTAGGCAAGGCTAGGGTTTCTAAGGGGCTGTTTGTTTCAGCCTCTTAATGGTTCATATATCTGAATGGTTCAGCACTTAATGGTTCAGACTGTTTGTTTTAGCCTCTTAATGGTTCAGATGTCTGAATGGTTAAGAGATTTGCCTCTGAATGATTAAGTATTACACAGAGTCTGAATGGTTAAGACCTCTTACCTGAATTGATCAGACATTTGTCATGGTTCAGACCTCCACTTATGCCAAACAGCCCCTAAGTTCCGTTCGACACGGCACCGATTCTCCTCGTCGTCGTCGTTGCAGCCTCCGTCAGGTAAGTTCCGTTTGATCTGCGGTTTTCAGGTCAGAGTAACTCGTAGCTTGATGACGAAGATCATCAGTTGGTTTTGATCGGGGCTCTGTAATGTTCAAATCGGGGCTTTGATGATTATCATCGCTATATTTCGCTATTATATATGTATATATATTATTGTTTGGTTTATTCAATTGTTGATAGAGAACACTATCTTGGTAGTCTCTTTATTGGATCTGAAGTGTTTGCATCTGCAAAGAATATAGAGCTAATGGTTTTCAATTTGTTACTAGGTCTATATAATATTTTGTATATTATTATTCTAAGCACCGATTTTGCTGATGCCCCAAATGCCCACCAATCAAATGCCCCAAATGATGATGCCCCAAGTGCTGATGCCCCAAATGCCCAGCAATACAATGCTTCAAATGCTTGATGCCAATGCACCCAATGGTAATGTGCATTATCATATGATTCGGAAGTACTTTTTCATTTTGGTGCGAACCCAGCTCGGATTGTGTGAGAGGGTTTCTAAACAAACCTTANTGAATGGTTCTTCTTCTGATTTTCAAACAGTTCATCATTTCCAGTGTGATCAATTTAATTTGCACTATGGATTATGTGACACAATTGTCAATGCATGTTATTGTGATGATTTCTAGTACTCCTATTTGAGCATTGGCATTGTTCTTTCATTGAATTTTTATTTAAACTATTTTAAATAAGTTGAGTTGAAAATAACTTCAATCAAACATCTTAAATTAAAATGTATAGTTTATTTTGGGACGGAGGGAGTATCACGTTCAAGGACTGATTTTGTTAAACACGCATGTTGTGTGAATGTAAAACACGCATGTTGTGTGAATGTACAGCGATGTAAAAACTCTATGTCAAAATCCTCCCCCCAAAAAACTCTGTCAAACACGCATCTTGTGTGAATGTATATCGATGTAAAAATTGTGTCAACATTTAACCATCATAGGAGTTGGGGAAATGTTATTTTGACACGTACTCTTGTATCTTACAAAATGTTATTGTTCGTAGTGTCATGCTGTAATTCACGGTTTGGCGCCACCATAGCATGACCTAATTAGGGAAATGTTCTTATTGAAATATCACAAATACAAGAGACTCCAAAAATATTGTCCTTTCAAAATGTTCATATTGACAAAATTGAAGATTCATAACACCCAAACTGGATTGTCCAGTCACATCTCATCAAAGATCAAGCATGTGCTCCTATGGCAATTTTCTTGGTTTTCTTGAATGAGAACCCATTCTTAATTCTGGTTTCTTTCCAGTGCAGCACATTCTTGATGATGATCCGAACGGAAAAAATTGATTTTTTATTAAATGGTTTGTGTTTTTTAAGGAGAAATTCTACAAATACTCCCAAATCTAATATTCTACACGAATCCTCCAAGATTGTGTAATTGTCCTCCGCAATCCCAGACAATCAATATTTTTATACAATGATACTCCAAATTTGCATACCTCACAAAGTATGGAATCCATGTCTCTGGGAGTATTCTTATAAGTTATAACAATAATAATAATCATAATAATCATAATAATAATAATACTAATAATAATAATAATGATAATATAAAATTACTGATGAAGTTCTTCTTTAGCTTGAGTGGCAGACAGTGACGAATTTAAAAATGGAAAGATTGGGTGCAAGAATAGTAGGGCAGAGGCCAGAGGTAGCGACCCTGTATTTTTCTAAAGGACAATGTGGAACAATAAAAATAATGATAAATTTCATCTCAATATTGTAAATTACTACACTTAAAACATTTTTACCTATATCTAAAATGCCTAAAATTAACCACATCTACCTTTTATTGTGGGTGGAAGTTGTTTTAAAAGTTTTTTGGCATTTGAGACGGGATAAAAGTATTTTATGGGATGTGCAAAAAATGAAATGGATATATCTTTTTGGGACGAAAGGGGTATATATTACCAAAACTAATTTTCAACAAAAGATTTTAAACGCATTAACCTATTTTTTAAGCAAGTGAGGCTTGAGAAATTAATAAAGCATGTAATTTTTTTAATGGGGGCATATTTATTATTATTTTTTAAAATAGGGTATTTATTACTCCGTAAAAAAAAATGAAAGTCATCGGGTGCAAGTTACATGTAAATAAAATAATTTCAAAAATCGTGAGATTTTACCTTGTGATTCCCATTTTGTAATCAAAATTGAGATAGATGGAATATTTCAAAACCTTTTTCCAAAAGTAAAAAAGTGGGATTTTTTACTAGGTAAAATTAATCAATAAATTAAAACTTATGAATAGAGGGAGTATGGTCTATGAAATATTGATTTTTTATAGACAAAATTGACCACTAATTAAATAAAATTGATACACCATAATACCATATTAGATATTGATAAAACAATACTTATACGTAGTATTATACTACTTTATAAAACATTTTCAAAAATATAACTTTATCTAATTAATATACCAAATGATTTTTATTTAATTCGAGATATAATTTTAAAAGTAGTTAACTGCAAAAAAAGTCAAAATTGGAAAAGTACTGGGACGAAGATAAAACTATATTCCAAATTAGAAACCAAGCATTTAAATAAGAAATTTTTTTCTCCGTATAAAAACTTGAAAATAAAAACAGAAAACTTCATCCTCAACATTCAATGGGAAAATTGAAACAAACAAATACTCCTCTAATATGGATGTGTCATATCATGGCCCCCTGGCCGTAATTTTTCTACCCTTTTATGGCTTTCTGCCCTCCCTCGCCGACCCTTTTCTTCCCCTGTTTCCTCTTCCAACAAAATGTGGTTTCTTTAGGAGCTATGGAAACTGAATGCCATTCCCCAGATTTTCATTTCTGTTTCATTGCTATTATAATCTGCACCAAAATCTAAGGATTTTGGGTTTTTTTTGCAAATCTATCATCATTATTCATTGTGATTTGTGTCCTTCAAGATTGTCCGGTCACACCTCATCAACGATCAAGCATGTGCTCCTATAGCAATTTTCTTGGTTTTCTTGAATGAGAACCCATTCTTAAATCTGGTTTCTTTCCAGTGCAGCACATTCTTGATGATGATCCGAACGAAAAAAAATTGATCTTTATATTAAATGATTTGTGTTTTTTAAGGAGAAATTCATACCAATACTCCCAAATCTGATATTCTACACGAATCCTCCAAGATTGTGTATTTATCCTCCGCAATCCCAGATAATCAATATTTTTACACAATGATACTCCAAAATTGCATACCTCAGAAAGTAGGGAATCCATGTCTCTTGGAGTATTATTGTAAAAAATATTGAATTTCTGCGAGCGATTCTTGATAAGGATGAAACTTTTACTGCGGGTGATCGAAGCCCGGAACATACCTGGAAATGACCAGAATGGGCTGAGTGATCCCTATGTGAAGGTGAAGATGGGGAAACAGAAGTTCAAGACCAAGGTGGTGAAGAAGTGCCTGAACCCATCGTGGTGCGAGGAATTCACCTTTCGTGTGGAAGACTTTAAGGAGGAAGAGCTTGTGGTTTCTGTCATGGGTGAAGACAAGTACTTCAATGATGATTTTGTTGGCCAAGTTAAGATCAACACTTCTCAGGTTTTTGAAGCTGATGGGAAGTCCCTTGGAACTGCTTGGTACACTTTGAAGCCCAAGAACAAGAAAGCCAAGAACAAGGACTGTGGTAAGCTTTTGTGTATCTGTTCCCTATGGTCATAAATTTGCCTGCATAGTTGAAACTTGAAACTCAACAAATGTTAGGGAATGGGAGAAAACGTTAACTTTTTGATTCTTCATCCAAACCAAAAGACAAGCCCAAACTCCGCATTAGCCAAAACCCCTCACGTATTTGTCTTTGTACAACTCCAAAAAAAACTTTCATCCAGACTCAAGTTTACTATCAATAGTGCTCACCTTTACCTGATCCAAACAACTTCTTATGATTTTGAATGCTTGGATTTGTCATTTGCCAATGCTATGGTGTTGTTTTGGTTTTTCAGGTCAAATCCTTCTCACTATTTGCTTCTCCCAGAACAATTCTTCTGCAGGAGAAATGCAGACCGGATGTGACATTGGTGTGGTGCAATCAAAGAAGTATATCGACGCAGGAAGCGAATTGGTTTCACGGTCTTCCTTTGGCTCTCTCAACTTCCCATCCCCAATGAGGATAGAAGAATTCAAAGAAGAAAAATCAAATACACAAACCACCTTGGTTGGTCGGATTTACCAAATTTTCAACAAGCAAGGCGATGAACTTCCCCCAAAATCTCCTGATCTTCCAGATGCTTCTGAAATCGAGGAGAACAACGACAATGCACCAGACGAGCAGCAGCATTCTTCATCGTCCTCATCATCACTGAGCTTTGAAGAGATGATGACAAACATGGAGATGAGAGAGCAGGAGAGCGAAATTACTGATTTGCCAGGGGTAGTAGTGGACCGAGTTTACTCAATCGCGCCGAGTGAACTCAACTCGTTCCTCTTTTCCCCCGAATCGAACTTCTTCAAAACCCTAATGGACGCCCAAGGATCCACGGAATTCTGCTCGGGTCCTTGGAAGCTCGACAACGGCGGCGGCGGCGTTGAGAGTTTCAGAAGAGTGGTCACTTTCGTTAAGGCGGCGAGCAAACTGGTGAAGGCTTTGAGAACGACGGAGGAGCAGACGTACGTGAGGGCGGACGGGAAGACGTACGCGGTGTCGAGCACCGTCGCCACGCCGGACGCGCCGTACGGGAACACGTTCAGGACGGAGGTGCTCTACCGCATCACTCCCGGCCCCGATCTCCCCGCCGGAGAAGAGTCTTCCCGATTGGTGGTCTCATGGCGAATGAACTTCCTGCAGAGCACTATGATGAAAGGTTTTAAAAACACCAGAAAAATGGCTAATTGCAATGCAAAAAAACTATACATCACTTTTTTTTAAAAAAAGCCTTTTTTAGTTTTTGTTTAATTTTAACATTTTACAATTAAAATTTATAAATTTTGAAAACAAATCTAATAAAATGTATTTTACATATTAATACAAGAATAATTTTATTATAATAATCTTATAAAATAATTTTAAAATATTACTATTATCATTTAATTTTTATATAATTTTAAATCAAAATTCAATTTTAATTAATTACAAAAAATCAAAGTTAGACAAATGTTTTGAAACGGAAAGATTAAATTAATTCAAAAACTTACTCTTCCATCTCTTAATAAAACTTAATAAAGCACTCCTTTTACAAAAATAGTTATTTTTTTTTGAAGAAGCACAAAAAAGAATGACCTTTGAATGAATATTAATTTCTCAATTCTTTTTTAAGCCAATAATTCTTTTCATTCTTTTTTAGTTTGTTTATATATTATTCTCTCAATTCTTTTTAATTATTGTACTAACATATAGTATAAATATAAAGAAATTAATGTAGTTTGATTTTAAGAAATTTAAATTAGACAAATATTTAAAATATACTCCGTAACAAATACTCGTAGTTTTTAAGAAATCAACTAAAAAAAGAAAAATAAAACTTCTATTGCAAAAATAAAATAAAATTATTACTCCTTCCGTCCTATAATGATCTTTCCAGAACACTATTCCAACTTTACGGGAATTTATATTTATTTGTGTTTTTTCATGGCCTATATGATAAAATAAAATATTCTTGTCACCACTTGTTTTGTTGAGTTTTTGGTGTAGTTTTTAAATATGTATGTTTTATTTTTTATTTATATACCAATATTTAAATAAAATAGATTAAAAAAATTTGGGATTTTTCTTCGTTTTGCGAACCGGAAAGATCATTATAGGACAGAGTACATTGTAAGTAGTTATATAAAGTTATATATTAGCATTTTAAAATATTTTTTTATATTATATTTTTAAAATCTTATTATTAAGGGATTAGTTAAATTTTTTTATTCTAAAAAGGTTTCATCGAGAACGGGGCAAGGCAAGGCGTGAAGGAGAACTTCGAGCAATTCTCGAGCTTACTGTCACAGAGCGTGAAACCAGTGGTGGATCATGAGCCGGGGAAGAAGAAGAAGGATCTGGTTCTGGAGTCTCTCCGGGCGGAACCGCAATCGGACGGGAAGCTGGCGGTTCAGTATTTCGCGAATTTCACGGTGATTTCAGCGCTTTTAGTGGGGCTCTACGTGATCTTTCACACTTTGATCGCCGCGCCCAGCTCGATCCAGGGGCTGGAGTTCGCCGGACTCGATCTGCCGGACTCCATTGGCGAGCTGATTGTTTCTGGAGTTCTGGTGCTGCAGGGCGCGCGTGCGCTGAAGCTGGTTTCGGGCTTTATGCAGGCCAGAGTGCAGAGAGGTATGTGAATAGATTCAATTTCCATTTCGTTTCAATTTCCTTTAAGAGCATTGGCAATGGCTGGCCGCTGACTTGCCTCGCCCTGCCACTAATGGAGAGGGAAGGAAGTGCAGCAGCAAGTGGAGAGGGGAGGCATTCCGGGAAGTAAGCTTTTTTTTATTTTAGTAAATAGAATTAATTTTATGATGAAATAGATAACTAAATTAATTAAAATATGCCAAAGATATGTAAGAACCAACAAAAACAATGATTTGACACTACAAGACTTACCAATCCACACATTGTTTTTGATTGGTTGAAATGTGTCCCGTCAGCATGTGACACTCCATTTACCACTTGCCATTTTCAATGCTTTTATGGTATTATAAGTCTTCAAATGGGACAGAGAGTGGTATATAGTTGAGGAACTAAAATGAGTATTAAGTGAAACATATAGTATATTGTTGAGGAACTAAAATGGGTATTAAGTGGGACAAAAAATAGTACTCCGTATATAGTTGAGGAACTAAATTGGGTATTAACTCTTGAAGTTTTTAGAAGATTATTTGTAGGAGGTGTAGGAATTGGGAAATATGAATGACAGGGGAAACATCATACAACAACAACCGAGTAGAATCCCATGAAAATATGGCCTGGGGAGGGGTGTGTGTACGTAGACTTTATCCTTACTTGAAAGTAGTAAGGCTGTTTCCACGACATCCTCAGCTCAAACAGCACATAAAGCACAGAGCATGAAAAAGAAGCAAAGAGCGGTGCAAGAAATGTGCCCATGAAGAGTTTCGTAGTAGTTTCTAAAAGACTGAAATGCATAAGTGTTACATCCGAATAGTGATGGTTTTGTGTGTTGTATTTTTCACACTGGTTTTTACCTGAAATATGTTTGGTTCTCTTTCAACATGATAGCCAAAGGTGGTGACCATGGTGTCAAAGCTCAGGGAGATGGTTGGCTATTGACTGTTGCATTGCTTGAAGGAAGCGATTTGGTAGCAGTTGAATCGGGCGGGGTTTCTAACCCGTATGTGGTTTTTACTTGCAATGGTAGAACTAGAGCTAGCTCAATCAGGTTCAGATGTTCATGTCCTAAGTGGAATGGTAAATATCCAATCATGTTGGTGAAGTAAGATGAACCATTAAAACTGGCACTTCAAAGAATTAAGGATGCACACATATTTATCTCAAAAGAATGCACCTGGATTGTTATTCATTGTGGATGAATTAAAATACATACAATTCAAAGCTGAAATTCTTTGCACTGCAGTGTTTTGCACTTTTACCGATGCTTTGAATTTTTAATATTTACTATCCAAAAAAGAGAATATATTTAGGCTCAACCATATGAAAACACATGGTTGAACCTTAGTGAAAATTAGTATTTTTTGGGTTCAAATATGACTCTTGTTCGTGTGATGGAAGTTGCTCTTTTACTAATTTAACCATGGTTTTGTGCAGAAATATTTGAGTTTGATGCAATGGAGGAGCCTCCATCTTTGCTGAATGTTGAAGTCTTTTGTTCTGATGGACCTTCCCATGAAGCTTCATCTATTGGGCACGCTGAAATCAATTTTGTTAAAACAAAAGTTATAGATCTGTCTGATTTTTGGATTACTCTTCAAGGGCAGTTCGCGCTTGCCTGCCAGTCTAAGTTGCATTTAAGAATTGTGTTGAAAAATACAAAGGGTAGCAATGTTGTCAAAGATTATTTGTCTAAGATGGAGAAGGAAGTGGGAAAGAAGGTATCCCAGTTTGTACAGTTTTATTCACCTCTAGAAATCTTTATTTATATTTTAGGTCTCCTTTTAGCTATGCTTCTTTTAACAAAGTTCATATTAAATATATTGTTATAGATAAAGTTAAGGTCTCCGCAAACAAATTCAGCATTCCAAAAGCTTTTTCAGCTTCCACCAGAGGAGTTCCTTATCAACGACTTCTCTTGTCATTTGAAGCGTAAAATGCCCCTTCAGGTAGTTATTACTACTCTTGTTATAGGGTGTGTTTGGGAGAGCAATCAGATTGGCGTAGCTTAGAGTGCATTTGTGATGACTGATATGCAAATAGTAAGTGGTTTTTGTATTATGAAAAGTATTTTTACTGCAATTGTTTTGGTGCAGGGACGTCTATTTCTGTCTGCAAGAATAATTGGGTTTCATGCAGATCTTTTTGGCCATAAGACAAATTTTTTCTTTCATTGGGAAGATATAGAAGATATTCAAGTCATCCCCAAGACTTTGGCATCAATTGGCAGCCCAATTGTTATCATGACTTTAAAGTCAGGCAGAGGGTTTGATGTCAAACATGGTGCAAAGACTCAAGATGCTGAGGGCAGGCTAAAGTTCCATTTTCAGTCCTTTGTGTCTTACAGTATGGCTCTTAGGTACTTCTACATCCAAACTACCTATTCTTTTTTTTGGGAATTGTATCAATTATTTGTGTTTACTGTTTGGGTCATTTATCCTTCACTTTGTGTCTTAGGATATGTTTGGATAAAAAATGCCAAGGGAAGAACAAAAATGCTAAGGAAATAGGAAAGTTGTCTTTTATTTGGTTCTGCAATTGCGAATGTAAAGGAAAATAAAAGATGATATCTGAAACAAGTTTGTTGTATTTTAGCCCATGTTTAATTTTTCTAAATATATTCCTTCTAATTTACTTGTTTGTTTTCCTTCTTTCATCTTTCCCTAGTTTTTTATGAGATCCAAACTGACTCTTATTGAACATTGTGTTTCAAAGTTATTTTCTAGTATAAAAAGCATTCCACCACACCCCATTCAAGGCACTAAGTCAAGCTTTATTTAAATCATACAAATAGAGATTTTAGAAATTGTTATAACAAACCTGCTTGCTAGGAATGCTAATATTTTGTTTGTGTATCTTCTGAGAAAAAATGGAACTGATTGAGACAATCTGAATGTCTACTAATATGCTTTTGGAATACTATTACTATATCAGAGAACTGTTATCTGAAGGATCAAGATTACCACTTTGAATGATTTAAACATATTCAGCTAAATAACCCTTTCGAAAAAGGAACTTTGGGCGTGTTATCTTTGTTTTGCACTGCATGAGATGATGTTTGCTACCATCTTTTATTTGACTTTTTAAAACGAACCGCACATAGGCTGATCATGGCACTATGGAAGGCGAGAGCTCTGAGCCCAGAGGAAAAGGCACGAATAGCTGAAGAAGAATCCAAGGCTAAAAGCCTCCAGATCGGTGATGAGGATTCTATGGACAAAAACATACAAGCAGATGATGACACTGAAGGAAAAAACATACAAGGTGAAGAGATGGATTTATCCACTGGAGATGATGATCTCACTATGTCCATTGCTTATTCCTCCGTGCTTTCTATTCCTGTGAGTATTCACATATATCATTTGTTGGGATGTTTAAATGAATTTGTGTTTTCCACTTTATTTTGTTACTGAAGGGTTAATTGAGTATTTGTAACAAACGAAAAAAAGAAGTCATTTACATTAGATCTGAAAGACTAGACATTTTTGTCACGGGCATGGCTCATACTCTCTCCAGTCCTTATAATAAGACATGATTTTACCTTTCACGCAGACTAAGGAACTGATTAAAAGCTTGTAGAATAACTTTCACTTTTCTAATATGCCCTACAACATTTCCATGGAGATCTTTTATAGAGTTTTCAAGAGGGACAATTGCGGAAGAAAAAATTAAATGTGCATTGATAAAACCCTCATGTGTCTTATAAATGGAATGAGAAGTGGTATATTCCTTGGTTCATTAAGGACATTTCTTTTGTTAAAAAAGGTTCTTCACCTATTCCCCTATCTTTGTAAGTTTCTTTTGTGATCCTTGACATGCAATATCTATTCAGAGTACTGGTTAACTTCTTTACTTAAACTGTGTTACAAACAACAACATCACCCAATGTAATCCCAACTCTGTTGGGGTCTGGCAGTCAAGATATACTGTAGACACAACCTAACTCTTTGTAGATACAACTGAGAAGTTTTCCATTAGACTTTTGGTGCATTGATGCATCTACTACCTAAAACTTCATAGAAAATAAGAAGCATTTAAACAAATGAAGTTTAATGTGCCATTTTGATTTGATCCAATAATTATCCAAATCTAAACCTGTGTCAATAAAGACTCTTTTAGCTCCATTGGCGATACACTTAGCTTGATGACTATGGGCACATATGCAAATTCTTATGCTATCTCCTACAAATAAATTAATAAATATTGTTTATTTGAAGTTCAGACAGATTTTTTCATGGAGTTATTTAGTGGGAATGAACTGGACAAAAGAGTTATGGAGAGAGCTGGATGTATGAACTATTCGCACAGTCCATGGGAATCCGAGAAGTCTGATGTGTATCAAAGACAACTTTACTACAAGATTGATAAATGGCTATATCGGTACAAAGTCGAGGTGACTAGCACACAACAGAAATCCCACCTTCCTGAAAAGAATGGTTGGCTTGTCGAAGAGGTCTTGACATTTCACGGGGTTCCTCTGGGCGACTATTTTAATGTATGCATTTTGTCCCCTTCAGACTTCTTTGCATCACGTTCCTGCTAACATAAGTTGTAAAAAGCTGTAGGTTCCACTGTTCCAGGTAGCTGCTATATTGAGGTATAGCAGCTGAGCAGTCCGCCAGTCCAATGATTAGTGGGGGGATTAGATGTGCTTATGTGGGACATCAACGGCTAATACAGAGTATAATTTTGCCGCGTTTGGTGGGGGTGGGGGGTGGTTGAAATGACCAAATTTGCCACGTTTGCTGGAACTGTGGTCATTAAGATGGAATTATCTATCGAAACTTTTTTTTTGTAATTTGTCAACTAGAGTTACATGCAAGTTAAACATGATGAGTTGTTAAACTTTCAATGTTTTTTTAAATGAGCAACGATTAATGATTTATAGAAGTTCCTTTCAAAGGTAAAAAATTGCACCTTTGTTAAACATGATTCTTTCATGGGACGAAGGTAGTAATTTTTTATTTTTTTTACTATTTAAATGAAATGGCATCTAAAGGCACGTGTTTCATTTTTCTTTATTTCAGCCAACATGTAAATTGTGCACTATTCTTAAAATATGTTTTAACTTAGTACAGTCAAAGAAGACAATGCTTCTAGCCCAAAAAGTAGGTTACCAAATTGGGGCCTTAGTTACTCACCTTTTCTGCTTGTTGCATTGCAGCTTCACCACAGGTATCAAGTTGAGGATGTAGCATCAGGAACCATAGGATGCAATGTCCAGGTATACTTTGGAGTGCAATGGTCCAAATACATCAAACATCAGAAAAGGATCACCAAGAACATCGTCTCCAACCTTCAAGAGCGGTTGTTGATCATGTTTAGTGCACTCGAGAAGGAATATCTATCCGAGCAGTAATTGGGCATGGCGAAACCACCAACACTAAACCATCGCCGCCAGGATTCATCATCAACAAAGTCGTCCCCCCTAATGAGCAATCTCTCGTCCCGAAAGAGGTAAGTGTATTACTGCCTCTAGTTCAATATAAATGAAGCTTTGGATGCATGCACATTAAGAAAGCGGTTAAAATTATGATATACTACCTCCATCTCGGAAAACTTTTCATATTTTGACTTTTTTTGGTCAAACATTGACATTCTTTTACCACAAATTAAGCATACTTTGAATAATAAATGTTATAAAAGTTTGATATATCAAAAGTCAAAACTATATCCTAAGATGAACCCAATTATATCAAATTTACATTAAAATTGAATATACTTTTTTCTCAATTTGTAGTCAAAGAGTGCCACTTTTTAACCAAAAAAAGTCGAAACATGAAAGGTTTTTCGGGACGGATGTAGTATCTCCTAACCCCTAGTAATAACTGTAAAGAGTCCACTTCGAAGTATAATACAGAGATATATGAGTTTATAACATACATTNAACTTTTCATATTTTGACTTTTTTTGGTCAAACATTGACATTCTTTTACCACAAATTAAGCATACTTTGAATAATAAATGTTATAAAAGTTTGATATATCAAAAGTCAAAACTATATCCTAAGATGAACCCAATTATATCAAATTTACATTAAAATTGAATATACTTTTTTCTCAATTTGTAGTCAAAGAGTGCCACTTTTTAACCAAAAAAAGTCGAAACATGAAAGGTTTTTCGGGACGGATGTAGTATCTCCTAACCCCTAGTAATAACTGTAAAGAGTCCACTTCGAAGTATAATACAGAGATATATGAGTTTATAACATACATTGATTTGCATCTTTTGGGATGGTTTGATCCATGATCATTATGACCCAATTTACTTGATTCGATTATGAATGATATCAGCAATTGGAGGTGACATTTGACAAGTTGACTTGATTCGCTAGGCAAAGTAACAGAACTAAAGGGGAGCTCACATTTGACAAGTTGTAGTGGTCCATTGGTAACCACTCTACAATTAAGACTCTCCTCTTGTGGGAGATCACGAGTTTGAGTCACATTTAGGATTTTCAATTAACATCTAGCCCCCTTGGTTCTAGCCCTTTGGTTGGATCTATTGTGGATGTCTCGCTTCCAACGGTAGTGTGGGAGCTCGGAGCTACTGGGAATCTGAGGAACGAAAGAATTCTAGATTTACCCCTTCTAGGATTCTTGAGGTGGGGTATTAGAGGCTTAGGATTAGTTCGACGCAAGTTGAGAAACTAATGTATAAAAAAAGTAAGGGAACCAAAGGGTATATTAGCTAGAAAAATATGCGCTTATACTCTAAACGTCATTTTTACTTGAAACAAAAAAAGTTAAAACATACACACAAGAAAACAAATGTCCAAATAGTCAATTGTATTGAATCAGATAGGATATTATAAGCATGGCATTTGTTTGTTTTTTTCACACTAACATCTTGGCAATGTTCACAATTTGGCCAGGTTCAGGAGTTAGCAATGCTATGATTTCTACAGTGAGATCTCTCTCTACAAATGGGAGACAAAGGGACACCCCCACCCCCCCCAAAAAAAACCAAAAAAAGAAAAATTGATATGGTAGCTTAGTTGTTGGTACCCTGAGCGAATATCAGTGGGACAAACGGTGTTCGGGCTTTCAACTAATCCAGAAGCTTGAGTTACTGTCTGATAACTAAGAAGGTTTTGCAAGGTATGGTTGCTAAACTTGGTGTGTAAAAAGGTTTTTTTTACCTTACAGTTAGAGTGAACCTTGAAACCTGATTGATATAGCAGTGTTGTGACTGCAACTCTTCTCTTCCATGCATATGATACAGTATAACTAAATCTACTCCATGTATGGTCAAATGGACAGCTTTGCCCTTAAAACACATAAAAAGGATGTTAGATGTTAGCCAACTCTTAAGGGTAAATTTGTCCATTTAACACAAATGGAGTGGATTTAGTGATAACATGGGTAAATTTAGCAACACCCTAATGGAGTATCAATCACAAGTACTTTTTTTTAAAACTGCATCTATCAGTAAGAGGTGGTGGATGATTTAATTTGAATTTCATTGGGTATAAAAAAAGACCAATAATACAACTTTAACCGCGATAATGACATCAGATTTGGCACTACAATAGTTAATCTTGCAGACAACCATGCTACACTTGCACTAAAAAGGGTACCCCAAAGTTACACCAAAAGTATTCATTAACATTTTGATGGTTTACACTGACACAAAATGTCTGTGCGTTAACAAAATTTTGCACTAATATTTTGTGTCTCCTAACATTACACTGACACAAAATGAAGGTGCATACCTGTGGTGTACAAATTGGGGTACAAATCTTGGGGTACAAATAACTTAATCCTCTTGCAGACGTAGTCATTATCTCTGTAAGACATTGGCGGTGTCACTTTGGTGTCAAGTGTGACTATGCCATAACCCAAAAGTTTCCTTCTTTTTTAGTTTGTGGCAAAATAATTCACTTTACCTTTTTAAAAAATGTGGTTAAAAAAGTCTCTCTTCTCATCAATGACAATTTCTTCTGTGGATCTAAGGTCCATGTTTATTATATAGACCTTAGTGCATTTGTAATATAAAAAAATTGGCTTTTTCAAAAAAGAAAATATCTACATGTAAACTCATAAAAAATGTGAGAAGATTTACATTTTAAATGTGGACTTTAGGTCATCTATGCATAACTTCTGGTCCATTTCTTGCAGTGTACCACTTATTTTCCATTTTTCATCCTTTTTAAGAATTCTATAAAAATCAAAGGCAGAACATTATTTTGGAAGGGAGGGAGTAATTTGAAATGGAAAGATATAAAAATCAAAGGCAGAACATTATGAAGTGCGGTGGCAGTGTGGTAAACCAATGATCAACGGTGATCAGCGTTGATCAGCGCAGGTGATTGGCGGGCGGTGGCGACGCTCCGGTGACCCACCGGGACACCTAAGGATGGCAATCGGACCTGAACCCGACCAAATCATAAGATTTCTGAACCCGAAGTTTGAAAAAAAAATTATCTGAACCTGAGCGGCTAAAATGAAACCTGAATCCGAACTAAAGTTACTATTTAAATTTTAAACATGTCTCACTAAAGTTACTCCGTATTATTTATAAAAAAGGGAATGATAAGAAAGAGAGTGCAATATGAATTCACGCATAAAAATTATATTAATGAGTGATAATAAGTGATTGAAATAAATGCATTAAAATAAATTCATACTTTTTTGACATTTTGATTTTAGAGTACATTTGGTAAAACACAAGTTACTTAACAAATACATTTGAAATGCAAAAAAATATTGAGATTTTTTAATATTGAATAGGAATAAATTTCAAACCCGAATTTGACATTACTGTCACCTAGTCTAGCTTCCTTGATTTAGAATGAAGCAGAGCAGCACAAAGAGCGTTTAGCTTCCGCTTTTAGGGAAATTGATAAAAAGATGATTCTACACTTCTCTTTTGATATTTTGCATATTCATTTACTCCTTTTTAGAAAGTTCCACCAAATTATTTTAAGGTTGAAAATAAAAGGGTAAATGGATGGATCATATTTGGAAGAGTAAGGAAAGATTGCAAATATTTACGGAGTATTTATTTTTCATTATTATTTTTATTTTTATTGTTGTTTTTTCATTATCTCCAACGGAGCTAATGATTCCTTTTTTTATTTTGTTTTGGGGTGTGATGAACAAAAGTAAAATGATTTTTCAAATATTATATGCTTCTTTTTCTAGTTTAGTGGTTAAATAATTCAACTTTCGATGGTAATTATGAGTGATCTAAAAATCGTTTCGCGTGCTCTATGTTTTTAATATAAGGGTTAAGTTGCATTCATATTGTACTTCACAATGTGTAGGAGCCTTTGAGGCGCTAAGGTAATTTTGTTATTGTTTCCCTTATTATTGGTCTTCAAAAAATAAAGTGAACATTTTATTTCTTTTCACACTATTACTCGTGTATCCAAACATGATGATCGAAAATAATTTTATTTTCTTCAAAAAATTTTAATTTTATTTCTTGGAAACGTTTAGATCAATGCTCCCAGATTTGACGATTATATAATATTTTTCTTAGATTCTTTTTTTGCATTAATATTTTGAAAAATTAACGTATTTTACGTTGCGACTCTAGCTCGGCTCAAACAACTTCAGACTTGAATCTAAGATACTCCGTATGAAATAAGATATATTGAGTTGGTAACACTTCCAAAGTCATGGAATTACATTGGGCCTTATTTGGACTTTTTTGAATAACTAAATAAAGAAAACTTAATTTAACATGGTGAAATCGTCCGCTTTCAAAACTGTTATTAATTTTTATTTAGTTATTCAAAAAATTCGAATAACATCTAATGTGATTTTATTCCTAAAGTTGTATTGTCAACTCATTGGTTCAGAGTAAAAGTATATCACATAATTAGGTCTGGAGCAGATTAAGTAATTTTAGAATATTGACTTGGAATTTGGGGATTTCTATCAGTATTGACATGATAAAGAGAATCTGAGAGTAATATTATATAACTAGTAGACTTGATCAATGTTCAGGCTGAGCTGGGTTCCAGGCCGGGCCGAGAGGTTACATTATAAGAGTTTCTAAGGCCCGAGCCCAAACCGGCCCGCATTTCAGGCCTAAAAATGAAACCCGAGCCAGGGCCACAGAAATATGCTCGGGTTTTGGGCCGACCCAACCCTCATTAATAATAAATTACGAACATATAAAAGTGACCAATGCATAATATTTCAAAAAAACGTAAATTTTAAACATTAAAATATTCGGTGTGTAAATTTTAGCAAACAAAAAAATAGTACGGAGTATATCACAGAGTTTAAAGTAGAGTACATAATTTGCATTAAAAATTTAGTAAACACATGAGTAAAAAGTGACCAATGAATAATATTTTGTATACTACGTATATTTTAAGTAATCATATTCCATATAAAAGGGTATATATATTTTAGAAAAATGCTAGGGGTACACCTTTGGTGTACCCCATTTGTCCCCCACCCCCTCCATTACCACAAAAATGGGCAAGAAATTAAAACAAAATTAAATAAATAAAAATGGGGTTAAAATGAATGGTAGAGAAAGGGGTGGAGGACAAATGAGGTACACCTTTGGTGTACCCCTAGCATGGCTCTATATTTTATACTACTCTTACAACTATGTACGGAGTATTATTTATATACTTTCATACTCTGTATTAATTATTTATAGGGATCGGGCCAGGCAGCCCGCAGGCTTTAACAACACAGTCCATACCCGACCTGCAACACTTGCGGGTACCTAAAATTTATGAGTAGGGTCGGATGCTAAAACTCAAGGCCAAGCCCACATTTTTTCGCGCGGTCCTATCGGGCCATACCCGAGTCCATGATCGGATTAATAACTAGACAAATCTGAGACTCTCATAGTAAGATCATTGTCTCTTCACCTTATGTGAATGTGAATGATTGTAATCTGATTAGAATAGGTTCTGATCTGATCTGAATAAAGTTATATTTAAAACTATTTCTGATCTAATATAGTTTAATTTGAATTGATTCTCATAAAAAAATAATAAGTAATAAAAATGAGTTGAAAAGAACATGATTTAACGGAGTGAATGATCATTTTTTTTGTAAATTTAACTATAAAATAGCTTTAGTAAAATTATTTAAATATCATGGGAGGTAAATTGTGATTAATTAATGGACGATTTAACTGGGTTCGTGCCAATGCTGCAAGAACATGAAGATTGGGAATGTCATCTCTGTTCCACTTATAATCTCCACCTCTTTTATGTGTTCAACACAATCGATTTGCTTGCGAGTTTCAGCTGCAGATAAACCCTAATCAGGGATTTCAAAAACCCAAGGAGTGATTTAAAACGAAAAAAAGGAAAAACGCACTGTCAAATCTTCATTTGCAAAGGTAACTCGCGTTCCCTCTGTACTCGATTTCCTGCAACTTTCCGAGTCGATTCACTCGAAATTACTCGATTGTTAATTTTTTTTAGTTGCTGCTCGTTATAATCTCAATCTTCCTTTGCTCGATTGTTAATTTGCTTTCAGTTTTATATCAGTTGTGTATTTCGTAAATTTAATCTCGGAACAATGCGCCCTTTTTGATATGGTTTGAGCATTGATATTTGTCCTCAGATTTACTTATTCTGCTTGAATCTTGTCACATTCATATGTCAACTTCTCAACTTAGTACTATTTGTATTCAAGTTCTATGAATGAATCTGTGCAAATTTTATTATAGGTAATTGTTTTATTAATCCCTACATGTTTGTTTATCAACTTGATTCAGACAAGAAGATTTGTGTTTTTTTTCTTCTAACACTTGTTTTAGCATTTAAGAAGTTGTAATTTGTATCAAGCTTATGTAGAATGTGTTGATACTTGAAATAGTTTGTACTCCGTATAACTCTGAGAAAATCACATTCCTCAGCTTCGAGGATACGGATAGGATTCTATGCATGGTCTTTCTTTTGCGTTTCTCTCATTCCATTTTCATGTCTGAATACATTATAAATATTTAACACAATGCAATGTTTATTCATCGAGTCATTGTAATGGTCTATGCTTAGAACATAAGTTAAAGCTGGGTTTGTATTTATTGGAAAGGTTGTGTGTGTGTGTGCGTGTTTGCTAGTGAGATTAATGCAATACTAAGGGGACATTGTGTCAATTACCTAACATTCAGGACTGGAGGCAGACTTTTTTTCCTGAAGATATCACAAACTGAAATGTATGGAAGAGCGGGTCTTGATCGCTTTAAGAAAGCTCAAACCTTAGAACCATTCTCAGTAGGAGCAAATTCTTCAGCTTCTAAGACAAATATACAACCAGCTACAAAAGCAGCTATTCAATCTCAAGCAACATATTCTCAGCCCCAAATATCATACCAGCAAACTCAACACCCAAATCAGCTCCCATCTTCACTGAAACCAGCAGAGACTAATGTGCTTCCTCCAGTACCAACTCAACAAGTGACCCAAGTTGGAGGAGGCCAATCAACATGGCAACCACCTGATTGGGCTATTGAGCCCCGACCAGGGGTTTATTATCTTGAAGTCATCAAAGATGGAGAAGTGCTTGATAAGATTAATCTGGATAAGCGTAGGCACATTTTTGGACGCCAATTTCATACTTGTGATATTGTTCTTGATCATCAGTCTGTATCACGCCAGCACGCTGTTGTTGTCCCGCACAAAAATGGAAGGTTTGTGATTTCTT